ACGCCACAACAGTCCTTTCTGTTTTATTTTCCATTATCCCAATATAACCCCAATAGAACCCTAAACCCTAAACCCTAAACCCTAAAGACGGCCTCTCATGCCACAGCATCCATGTGTCTGCTGGTTTTGGCTCGCTTGCAGGTGAAGCTTTCAATTCCTCAGAGGATTGTTGAAGCTGAGTGGCAGAAGAAAGCCAAAGGCGAGGCAGCGAAGCGATGCAAGGAGTGTACTCTCAGCTTCCTGAATCATGATGGCATGATACTCGTATGGCATGCCTTTCTTGGGTAGTACTGTATGCTACGAACCGCGCAAGGTAGGCATTTTGTCATGTGCGCCGAGATAGCGGGCTGCTCATGAATCATGCATGTCCAGCAAAAGCAAATTTTTGACAGTCTGGTCAAGAAAAGTAGCCAGAAAGGAGAGGGTGTCAGACGGATTACACTGTTGACAGCTTCGTTTGACCCTGCAGCTGCAGCTGCGGGCGACGTAATGCTCCAACTGAATGTTACGATTGAGTTTTCAGCGTTGCTCGGAGGGTCGACTGAGACCCAAAGCTGCTATGATGGGCACGCATGCGAAACCGGCCCCCAAAGCAATACCCCGCTTAAGGGATTTGACCCTCTGTGTTGGCTATGTCTCCAAAAGCATCAGATAGCTGCCAGAATTCACAGGGTCCTGAGCAAGCTTCATGAGAAAGGCGCAGCGGTTTCGAGGCATCATCATGTGAACATACGGTACAGACTGGCTGGCTTTCCGGCTGCACGAACTGGAGCAAGTGCCCAGAAGTGAGACTTAGTTCGGTTGCCGCTGTCCCTGGCTTTGGCATCTGCGGGCAGGTTGCGGGTTTCAGCCATGGAAGATTGTACCTTTTTTCAGGTAGTGAGCACGATCTCGCTTCTGTGCAAATAGCTACCGGCCTCCGTTTGATCTCGCGTTTTCCGGTTCCACCGACGCAAAAGCGCCATCTCCGCCATCCATCTCACATCCTAGTCCCTGACCCTTGCTTTCATTGCAAACCGTCAAACATGTCTGGCATTTGTGGAGGCAACATTTTATGCCAGTACACCATCCACGTGATATCAAAGAATGCAGCAGCATCCGACGGAGACGCCGTGGCTTTGGCTGCACGAAGTTTGTGGCCCTACTTTCCATGGCCCATGGGAGCACAAGCATTTTTTGACCAAAACGGCCGTGTGACTCCTCAGTTGAAGGTGCCTGCACATGTTTCAAGCTTCTGTGAAGACGGGACATCTCATGCAGTTGTGACAGAAGTCACTTCACAAGAGATTTCTCACCTGTGCGGCACCGGGGATCACGTATTTGCACGTCGTCTTGCAGGTGCTGAAAAGGCTAGCTGAAGTGGACAGGGTTCAAAAACTGTTGCCCAGCATGAAGGTTGAATAGGTCAGAGTCCAGAAGTTGAGTGTTCTTTGTGGAGAAACACCAGGACCCTAGAAGTGTTGAGAGTAGTGTTCGCCGGAGGACGAGGTCAAAGCCAAGCAGAAAATCGACGAAATCTTCAAGGACATGGGTCACTTAAGTGTTTTTCTTCTGAGCTACTGTGAGCCGTCCGCACAATCTGCGAGCATGAGAGCCAGTAGAGATAGGATAAGGGTTTAGGGTTTAGGGTTTAGGGTTTAGGGATAAGGTTGGTTCTTGTAGCTTTCTTGTGCCTAGCCTTGCGCGCAGGCCCATGGCATCGAGCAAGAAGTGACACCGATAAGAAGCCCAACTGCAAACTGGTGTTTATTGGGATCATGGAAAAGAAAATGGAAACTACCATAGCATCTTGGGGCTATGAAAGGAATCGCGTGCTACTGTGCTTTAATCAGCCGCTCTTACTGCAGTGGGAAGATTTGACTGTGATCGAGCTGCCTCATCTGAGGCATGACCATGAAGCCCTACAGGCTCTAAGCCAGAAAGCCCACAGGCAGCCAGGATTTAGGGTTTAGGGTGTAGGATTTAGGATTGCTTTAGCCTGTGTCTGTTAACAGCCCTGTAAGAGCTATAGTCTAAGCTCCTGAAAGGGGGTTATGCAAGGGGTTCTACAAGGGAGTGTTAGAAGAGTCTTTCACGGGGCTACCAGGAGTTTAGACTATAGCTCAGAAGTTTACTTTGATTAGACGCGCGCCACCTAAACCCTAAGCCCCAAAACCTTACGGTCTAGACGGGGCTAGCCTGAGGCAAAGTCTGTCTCCCGTGCCATATGAGCCGGGGTCAAAATTAC